TATATATATAATTTTATTCAAAATCTCTTCTATGGCTTTGTCCCCAACATCTAAGTTTACAAACCTCGTGACATTCAACCAGGGCTTTAGCCAGCGCCCGTTTTACCGTCAATTGACGGTATTTTTTCCCGTCGGACGGTAAAAATTTAAGTCCTTACCGTCAACATTGACGGTCAAAAATCGTGGGTGAAGACATTAAACTTAGCAAAAAATGTAGCGAATTTGAATGAGCCACGGCGCGGGGTCTTTCCAAAGCGCGTCGCGTCTTTTCAAAACGCCGCGGGCCCACACATTTCTTCTTCTAAATACGGCGGGAAACCTGACTTCAAGGAACGTGCCGATGTCTGTTAACTCGGTTCTTTTCTTCAATGTTGCTGTCTGTTTAAACAACATGTGCTAACGGCCACATAAGAACAATGGCTCGACTCAGACTCACGCTGGTAACTGTACATGACAATAAGATAAATAAACAACATGTGGCAACGAACAAAGAAATATCAAACGTTTTGAAAATATACTGTACTTGAATTTTCATACCATCGCAAGAAAACGGAGATCGATCTACGCAAAGTGGCTTTATTATTTATATAAACTTCGTTAAACCACCTTCGAAGACTTGAGCGGCAGCATAAAGATAAATTTTCTGGAGCCGATCGCTGAAGCAAGTTTTTGCCGGCGTACGTAACTCCCTCCGCGGCAAAATCCCATATGCCGTAGCGAAATCGCGTCTCAGCACTTCCCCAAATCAACTCCATGGCCGCTAAAGTCTGCAAATGAGGTTAAACTTCCTCATTTCGGTTGAGAAGCGAAGCTACTAGTATAAAATCATGTGCATGGCGGCCACTTTGTTTGCTACCCGAAGTCTTCCGAATGATCTAAATAAGGAAATCGTCGGAAATCTGAGCCACATCCCTCGCTGTCGGCATGCGCTCGGGGCTGGCTCGGTGGAAATCGGAGGCTGTGGCGTCAGGACTAGGTTTATTTGCATGGCTCGGGAAGCCGCCGCGGCTTGAATCGCAGCGGGATTTGGGCGCCGGGTGGGTCAAACAAAGGGAATATGAAGTTGTGAGGACCATAGTTTTTTTTTCTATTCTTCAAATTGCAGATTGTGTAATTTTTATTCCTGAAATCTTGAAAATCTATCTGCAAATTGCAGACTGAAGACGGGTATTTAGAACACTGAATACATGAAGTGTGCGGGGGGGCGATGATGTCGATCACCGGATCATGATTTTTTTTCGCGTTGACCCTGATTCAACCCTAAAATAATACTCGAAGAGAACTTCAAAAGTCATCTCTTACTAATCATATATAATTGTTTACATTATATCATCTGATCAACCTGATCCATTAAAAATGTCAATGGAAAATACCTTGCCAAACAATGCAATACCTATTTAAGTTAATTAAACACTCACTCATTAATTAATTAATTTCCTAAAATACAAAAGACATGTTGGTGAAAGTTAGGCACCCAGGTAATATCAATAGTTCCACGGACAGCTATGTAGGCCGGAGCTTCTATTGCGTGCGATCTACGTTTGGTCAGAAAATACACCCCCCCCCCAAAACACACACACACAAAAACACCGATCCGGGAACGCCTGAAAAGGAGGCTTTTAATAAGCTTTGCCTGCAGCGCCTTGATTGGTCGGACGTGTGACCCTCTGGACTGCCGGCTAATGGAAATCTGAACATCTAGACTAATCCACACTGCTAATGCTCATTGACATAATTTATGCAGTTTATTAAAATCCTTGATTACTGTGATTATAGACATGTCTTTATCAACATTTTTGGCAAATAATAAAATCAAGTTATTGTTCAAGACAAATTAAGTTTGTTTTGTCAGCAGCTTTGTTATGCAACATTAATAGAACTATGATTTTGAAATTAGCAACCATAATGGAAAGTATACAAACGTCCAAGGCATAAATGGTAAAAAGTGCACTCGCAACAACGACATCTAGCGACATGCGGCAACTCAGCATGTCTGCATGGCCGTCGCAACAACGACATCTAGCGACATGCGGTGACTTAGCATGTCTGCATGGCCGTTGAAGGGTGGAACCGTTGATCCATCCATCCATCCAATCTCAATCTCGTCTGAGTTACCATTTTCGCGCATGCGAAAATGGTAAAAAAACATTTTTGGTAGTGCATATCCTCTGGCCAAATTGATATTCCATTTTAAATTTAGGCCAATTTCAATGTCCTCACTTCCCTCAGATGAAAATGAGTACCTAGATTCGGTTAGGGACCTCCTCTCAGATCTGAGGAGGGTCGCACTTCGAGCACTTCAAGTGAGGAAAGTCGTGTAAAGTGCCTTTCCCAAGGGCACAAGATCGGTGGTGTGTCAGGACTCGAACTCGGGACCTCTTTGTTCCGAGTCGAGCACTCAGCCGCTACGCCACACGACCCCACAGTCCGGATGGTTTGTCGCCCACATGTGCATCCGGCTTTCAGAAACATTAATGGCATAAATTTTCTCCCTTCAGTTGATTGGCAGTAATTCAACATGCCTACGTGTGTTCAACAATGCCAGTAAATTGCTGGCATTGTTGAAAACACGTAGGCATGCTAGAATCAATCTCCAAGCAGATCTTTTTATCATCAGCATTGATAAATTCAACAGTACCCCGTGTGCCAGGAATGTTAAACATAACTGTGGCATGTGTTACACAAGCTCTCGGCCGGAGGTTAATGACCCCCACGTTCGGGCGGGCGGCTGCCAGGAGCGCGGTTTAGTCTATGGTCAGGCTAGGCATAATGTGTATTGCTGAAAACACGTAGGCGTGTTAAAATTGAAACTGTACCCTGTGTGGTGGGGATGTCTAAATTACCATCAAATTGGCTCTATTTTCTTCCTTCAGTTGATTGACAGTAATTCAACTGTGCCACGTACGTATGCCTGGAACTTTATGCATAATTGGTATACATATTGTTGAACACACGAAGGCATGTTAAAAGTAATCTTCAGGCAGACCTTTTGATCGACAGTAATTTCACCATACACTGTGTGCCGGGAATATTAGGCATAATTGGTATTATTAAAAACAAGTAGTAGGCACGTAACAAGCAGATCATTTGATGACAGTAATTTCACTGTACCTTGTGTGCCATTGATGTTTAAATTGGCATCGAGTTGTATCTATTTTCTTCCTTCAGTTGATCGACAGTAACTCCGTGTGCCAGGAATAGTAGTCATGATTGGTATACATGTGTATTGTTGAACACACGAAGGCATGTTAAAATTAATCTCCAAACAGATCATTTGATGACAGTAATTTCACTGTACCTCGTGTGCCATTGGTGTTTGAATAGGCATTGACTTGGTTCTATTTTGTTCCTTCTGTGGATCGACAGTTATTTAACTGAACACCGTACGACGGAAATATTAAACATAATTGGTACTGTTGGCATGTTAAAACTCATCTCAAAGAAGATCTTTTGATCGACAGTATTAATAAAGTCAACTGTGCTCCGCATAATTAGTATTATTGAAAAAAAATATTTACGTTGAAACTATTATCCAAGCAGATCTTTTGGTTGAGACAAGACAGTATCAAACTGGCAATATGGTATAATTTGCAGGGCAGCATACAATACACCACCTGAAAGAAAAGATACCAGTACAAGAAAAAAAGAGAAAGCCCGAAGAAAACGCATAAAAGCACGGCTCAAAATACACAAAAGTCTATACCTCTGCGTGGAGAGTACATTAACACAGGTGAAAAGACGATACAGATACATGTTACGTTTCAGATATTTAGATACTCGAAGTTTCCAAGGTACTAGTACTACATTGTATCTACTGCAAAGGATAGCGTGACGAAATCTAAGTTTGATGAAAAGGCGAGACAAATTAAAGAAATTGAGAACAATTTTTTTTTACTGCTTCCAAGAAAGAAGTGTATTTTGGACTACACTGTGTGGGAGTATTGAATATTCATCATCTAATTGCCCCCGTTTTCATTTACCCACATCACGGGATACGGAAATTAGAAGCGAAACTAAGTCAATGTGAAAATAAACTAGAGTGATTGACGGCATCACAGCCACTTGTTTAACAAAACCAAGTCAATGTGACAATAAGAAGGCCACATCAAGTAATTTTTATGGATGACATCACGCGCGCATTAATTTTCGCCTGATTTTTGAAAAAAAAAAAAGAAATTTTGTTGCCTTCTGACAGTGGTCAATATGCCGAAAATGGGCAAAGATGTCTGTTGCCATGCCGGAAGGTGGATGGCAGATAACTATGAAGAGAGGAGACAAGAAAAGGCTCTGATTTAATGTTTTGTTTCTTACTTTGATGCAGTGATATGTGATGCTGGCTGTGTATATGTGATGTTTGTAGGAACCTTGTTTTTTTCGGCCCACCTTTTACTTGCTGTGGCCTAAACTAGAGTGATTGAATGGCATCACAGCCACTTGTTTAACAAAACCAAGTCAATGTGAAAATAAACTTGAGTGATTGAATGGCATTTTCTATTCACAGCCACTTGTTTAACAAAACCAGACATTTCGATGACTGTCTGTCATCTAAGGGAAACTATGACTGGTTTAATGTCGCCTCTTCTACAAGTGGTTGTGAATAGAAAAAATTTTGCCATCCAATCATTCACCAACCTAATGAACCAAGAGATCCCGGGTTCGAGTCCTGACATGCCACCGATCTTGTGCCCTTGGGAAAAGCACTTTCCTCACTTCGCTCAGGTGCAAATGAGTATTGTATTGTCCCCTGTGTTGGTGGCGACATTAATATACTTGAGTGTGCCGTCACCACGTCTTGTGATTAACAGTTACATGTTGGAATATATGCATAAAAAACCTAATGAAATTGAAAACGGGGTATATTCGACTGATTGCGGTTTCAGTTTTTACCAATGTGTTTGCATTTTTCCCGTTTTCTATTTTGACCCATTGTCGTCTCCAGTTTTCATTTGGATTACTATCACTTAACAGTACGTTAAGCTCTGCCTGGCAACTTGAAGACGCATTAAGACTTTGATAATCGTTTCAAAAGACGAGCATCTGCCAGGAGATTAGTTTAAATGGACGTTAAAACCATGTCTTGCCATTAGCAAACAAGGAACGTCTTTCATAAAAGGCGTACAAAAGTAGCAAGAAGCTGTACAAAGAAAGAGTGGAAGGAATACATCCTTCTGAAGATTAGTGTAACCAAGGAGAGTGTGGTCCTCCCGTCATCACTTAGCTTGATGATCTTTGATTGTACGCACATGTATAAAGCTAGATGTCACTAGTGGAAATTCGCGCCTTTAAAAGGCTTAGAACACATGAATGAAAAGGCTTGTAGGATAGCGTGACATCTGCCCAAAGATTAGCGTAGCTTAAAAGTACATTAGGTAGAATCTATTGGTGGAATGACAAGAGATATGGGGTATGGATTAGTGAGAATACGATCAAATACGAACGGAAACCATACATTGAACACCTGAACGAAAAGGCTTGTAGGATATAGCGTGACATTTGTCCAGAAATTACCGTTACTTAGCGTTGCTTAAAAGTACATTAGGTAGAATCTATTGGAGTTAAAAAAACGATATGGAGTATGGAGGGGTGGAAAGATGATCAAATACGAACGGAAACCATACATTAAACACCTGAACGAAAAGGCTTGTAGGAGATTACCGTTACTTAGCGTAGCTTATAGGTACATTAGGTAAAATCTATTGGTGGAAAAAACGAGATTACCGTTACTTAGTATAGCTTAAAAGTACATAAGGTAGAATCTATTGGTGGAAAAAACGATATCTAGGAGTACGGAGGGGTGGAAAGACGATCAAATATGAGCGGAAGCCATACATATGTCGAGAGATTCATAAGCGATAAGGACCCAAAGCGATTTTCAGGGTGGATAAACAGGATTTTTTAGGAATAATCAACCCTATCCCATACCATACTGATATCTGTGTGGAGGCAAAAATGCGATGGTATGGAGAGTCTGACATCTGGATAGAGATTACCGTTAGTTAGCCTAGCTTAAAAGTACATTAGGTAGCGAAAAAACAAAACGATATGGAGTATGGAGGAGTGAAAAGACGATCAAATACGAACGGGAACCATACACCAAACACCTGAACGAAAAGGCTTGTAGGAGATTACCGTTACTTAGCGTAGCTTATAGGTACATTAGGTAAAATCTATTGGTGGAAAAAACGATATCTAGGAGTACGGAGGGGTGGAAAGACAATCAAATACGAGCGGAAGCCATACACTTGTCGAGAGATTGATAAAATTTTAAAAGCACCCACAGCGATTTCAGGGTGGAAAAACAGGATTGTTTTAGTCAGAATCAACCCTACCCTACCCAACCCAACAGTAAATGGATATCCCTAATGATAATTTGATGGTTCCGGGGAGGAGCACTGTCACGTTTCTTGAATAGGTTTGACCGCCCCGGGGTGAGTGCCGGCAGAGGTTGGGTTGGGTGAGAAAAAAAATTCCAGTGCAAAAGAGAAACGCCGATAAAAAAAAGTCTAAAAACACGCCAAAAATAACCCCAAACCCAAACCTCTGCTTGAAGAGTAATCGTTGTCTGGTTCTAGCTATTGGCTTTTTTGATAGCTTTTTCTATTTCAAACGCTTCAATTATGAAATAATGACGAAAATATGCTTTAAGAAATGGCAGTACACTACTAGTAAATGTCAACAACAAAGCAAACATATTTCCTCATTCAGATGACAATATTCATTGTTTTGTCAAGCTGAAATTGTTTTTGAGGACCTGCATGTATGATGATAATAATTAGCTTCTGAATAGACATTATGAAATTATTCACGAACGACAGTGCATCATTGTATAACTGTGTCTTTCACAACATGGGCATGGTTTTGAATGTTGGAGTAGAAAGAGAAGAAACGTTACCAGTATCTATCGAGAGAGATGGGTCCGATGATACAGACGGCGAACATTGTGAAGAACATGTAGATGGCACTGACGGCGACCAGGAAGGCGTTGCAGACGAGATACTCCCGGACGACCAGGAAGTGTATGGCCAGCGGGACCTTGGTGGAGGCCTGGAGGATGTCCGAGGCTGCCAGCGCGCAGAGCAGAGCGTACCCCGGCGTGTGGAGGTCCTCCGTCAGGAGAACTGTCAGGAGCACCGCGGTGTTCCCCCCGACCGCCAGCAGCAGCGAGCCGGCCAGGTACACGATCTGGAGTTCTCCGTACGGGGAACTGGCGTAGAAGTACGGCTCCCAGTCAAACTCTGTTGCGGTAGAGTTTGTCACGTTGAGCTGAACTGCAGTAGAGTTGTTGGAGAACATTTTTTCTTCGGATGAAGCACACGTAGTCTCTACCAGACTAACTACGCTGGCTATGTACAGGAGAATATTTGCCAGGGGAGTTTGACCGCCTTGTAGGTTTGACTGGCCGCGCAGTTCGGAGGGAAAAGAAAGTACCTCCCCTCGGCCGGACTCCCTTGGCCAATTTTACTCTCTTTTTTGCCGAATTCTACGATCCGTATCCCCGTAAAAAGGCCTGGTGGATGCTAAAGCACACGTGTGTGTGTGTGTGAATGCGACGTGAGTTCTGATACTAGCAGCCGGAAACTAGACAGGGCAGACTTATTAAGGAACGGCACAACACTCTCGCCCTACGTCATCTGACGTAGCACGCAGGTGGGCGTTATCATTCCGTACACAGGAGAACATCAAGACAACTTTTTTTTGTAGACAACATGTAATCACAAGACGTGGTGGGAACACACTAAAGTTTTATCAAATTATATTAGTACAATACAATACTCATTTTCACCTGATACACTACAATACTCATTTTCACACAATACTAATTTTCACACAATACTCATATTCACCTGATACAATACAATACTCATTTTCACACAATACTCATTTTCACACAATACTCATATTCACCTAGTACAATACAATACTCGTTTTCACCTGAGCGAAGTGAGGAAAGTCCTGCTAAGTGCCTTTTCCAAGGGCACAAGATCGGTAGCATAACAGGACTCGAACCCGGGACCTCTTGATTCCGAATCAACACCACACGACCCCAGGACAACTTTTGATACGGTGATGCGGTTGGTCAAGGAAAACAAAAAATGCAAACAAACAAACAAAATGGTCAAAACATAACTTCTTTTGGAACAAATACCAATACACATGTCTTTCTATTGTTATGGTTTTGTGTGAACAAAAAAAATGGATAGAAATGCGATATTTAAAAAGAAACATTATTATTAGTTTATTTTGTTGACACTCACAATGTGGATTTTGTCGACAGGTTAGTTGCTGTAAGTTATCAAAACGATACTGCAAGAACACCAGCTGATTGTTGTTTGAATCCAGCACGGAAACCGTTAAATGAATTTAATGTGCAGGTAACGTTTTATAGTCTAACCTTTGCACGAACTTTCACCAACGTTATTGTTACTGTCGTTAAGTGTGGGGTAAATTCAGCTCTGTGTGTCCCATAAACACGCAAGCATGGGTGCTACCACACTAGCTTTATGTATATTGGATCCTAAATGAAATCGAAAATAGATTCAAGCTTTAAATTTTCATATGTTTTGCGACTGTAGCTCGAAGAATTGACTCCTTTTGCCGATCGGCTGGATTTCATTCCAATTCATTAGGCTACTTCAGAGCATCTTCCCATGGTAAGGTCAGCGGCTCCGAGTTCCTTCTTAGGGGTGGAGAAGGAACTCGGAGCCGCTGACCTTGCCATGGGAAGATGCTTCAGAGAGAGAATAAGACTACATACGCATGATACATGTAACAACCCAGAAGTCATACTTACAATCTAACTTAAAAGCACTACATTTGAAAACAAGACTTGTACACGTACTGGCGTTATAGTGAATTTGCATCTCTCTACTCCCACACTTACGCTACGACTGCTGGGTGTGTTATGCCGAAGGGCGGTAATACCGGCTATACAGATACACATACAGACTGACATGATTGTTGCTGTCCTTGGTGCTGAATCTCCGGTGCTGTGCGAGGCACTAGTACATGTATGTTACTTCCATCTTTTTAGTCTGGATAATTAGCCAAGCAAATCCTTACTTAAAACTACACAGCCCTTAACCTTAATTACAGCGATCCCAATGGACAATGTGTACATCAATGGAGGATACGTAACGTTACATGGTAGAAATCCAACAAGCAGGAGAATCGAACAGAAAAATCTATACTAGTCAGTGTCATTGTTTATTCCAAGTAAGTCCTCGGGCTGGTTGTATAGCTTCTAGTACACGTATACTGCTTCCCTTTGTCGCAGCTTTGCTACTGATCATGAAAAAAACACAAACAAGACCAAGCACAAATGCACTAGTATTTCTATTGTGGCAGTAGCAGTCACAACATCCTTGTGCTGCAGCGACATCTGGCGGCTATGTTCTAAACCGCACAGACTAGGGGATATGTGTAGTCGACGGTTACAACTGCCGCGAGAACTACACTTTAGAATTCAATCATGAAGACCTTTTCGACATGGCTTAATACTAGTATTCACCCTGTGCGTATAATCAAGGAGGTTTACAAACATACCAGCTATGTTTGTGAAGAGTTACAGAACTTGGAGCAAGAAACTGAGGCAAAAGTTAACACTATACAACAGCCCGAGCACTCAAAGAGGGAAAACTTCTTTCTTCCCCGAAAGACCGAATCACATTTTAAAGCTGCATTTTGTAACGTTTTTGCACCCAAAATGGAAATATTCAAATCGAAAACTTTATGTGATTGTCATTTACTTCCACTTTTCAACACTATTTGCGCAATTATTTCATATGTCTGACATTTACGGATGGCGCTAAAACAACGCACACAAGGCACACTCAGTTTGTGGCACCACCACAAAATACCAGAATGTAAACAAACACGGCTAACAGCGGTGTTTCCATGAAATATTTTGGCACCTCCACCTTCATAAAAGACACTCATTTGCAATGTACAATTGTACATGTAGTTGCGTTTAGTACTTCAACCTATTTTGTAAACATGAAATGATCAGAAAATTGACTTTTTCGTCGTCCTAATGTTATATAATCTGTAGGGAGTCTGGTTATTTATACAGACGTCAGAATATATGATAAGGGAATGAACGACACCTTGGATTTCAAATTGAGACCCTGAATAAACTGTGGTATGCCCCATTAAGTCATTAATCTTCGATATAACGCCTACGTGTAAGCGTTACTGTAATGATTGGGTTACGGCAGTGTGCACGAATAGATTTTATTGGCCAATATCCTGATCGAATGTTCCAATCACCTAGCAACGCCGGAATGTGGGGCCACATGCTTGCCCATGTGCAGCCTTGTTTGTCTACCTGTGTGTGATGCATTTCGAAGATATCTCTCAATGTATCTCGAAGATTAGAGATTTAAGATGGTTCATTGTTGCTTGCATGTGGCGCAACAGCTTTAAAGGTACCGATATTTGTTTAGTTTTAAATAATACACAAGCCAGGACGATTCCATCTGGCTTTGTCTAGGTGTTGGAGAAAACTTTTGTTGAGATTTTTTATAAGACGCTCTCCCGAATTCGTCCATGTAACACCGCCACACTATGACCATTGGTCATAACATGAATAGGTAATGTTACCAACATTAGAAACGAATAGCGGTCTATTCTTAGCTTTTTGTCTATGGTAATTCAAGAGTTTGCTTAGACCCATTTAATGCCCACGTACACCCATCAGCTAAGCCGCCAGGCAAATTGTTGAGAGCAATTGGAGCTGGTTAATCATTAAAGAACTACCCATTGTCAGTCATAGAATGTCCTGTTGCAACAGTCCTGTTAGCTGGCAGTTTATCCCCCCGTGCTTTTTTTAAGTTTGCCGATCTGTCCGTGGTAAGTTGTTTACACCGTGTGGCAACGGGGCGCAAACAGGCTGGGTACACCTGGGGAAGATGGCTGACTGCGCGGGGGTTGTGGAGTGTGTGGTGAGCAAACTCCTGAGTCCGGTACTTGAAATATCGGGCCTGATAACGGGAGAGACATCCGACACCCCTCGCTTCGTGAGCTTCTGACAACCTGACTGACTCGTCAAGGTAGGTTAGCAACAACCCCAACCCCCTTTAGCCCCAATTTTGCTGGCCTTGCCACTTACACACACCAAAACTTGCTTGCAGACGACAAACCTCAAGAGTCTTTTCCTGTCAGAGAGCAATTTCTTCCATACACGATAACCAACACACTGTTTTTAAGCTCTAGTTTGTTGTCGTTTTTTGTAATGGTAAGGATGCGTAAATCTGTTTGACTTGTAACAAAGAGGGCACTTCCCCGGCTTAAACCACAAGTTTGTTCCGTCATGCAGTGGACAAACTTCTGTACACGTATACGATAGGAAATAGATTGTAGATTCATTGTAGACATCTGCACACAGGCATTAGGGTACATACATGGTGCATGTGACCTTTCCCGAAAAGTTCACCTGACCACACAGTCCTTTGAGGACTTGACAAGTCTTTGGCAACAGTGTTTTCTTGACACATGGGATTACATGTCGCCTGTTTTGTGCCGTAATCAGGTGTGCACAACGGATTTTAGATTGTATCTCGCTCTGTGCGTCTATTGCCAGACAATACAGGAGATTATGGGGTGTCAATCACTACAGACACACCAACTTAGAATATCATAGGAGTCGGTCTGTCTTGTGTTCACAGTACTGTTTGTCAAATGTATAGTGCTAGCTTCTGTTTCGATGAAAATTCTCGAGTTTTGAGTAAAAAATAAAGGAAACTGTTATTCAACATAGTAGAATACGACTATCGTAGCCCTCTGCTATTTGAAATTTAAACCTAACGTTTTCTACTGTTCCATGTTCACGTAGGGGTTTGTGTATGGTGAAATGTACACATCAAGAAAGAACAGGCATCGTCTACAACATCTGTGAGAGAGAAAAGAAGTCAAACTTCTTGTTTACCAAACAAACATTTCCGCGTCAGGTGCTACAGGAAATTGACAACATCACCCACGACATTCTGTCAACATCTGATCACAAGGAACAATAGCAGGTGACGCAAGGAAAACTATGACCCCGCTCTGACAGCTGAAGAATTTTCGTGACGTCATATTCAGACGACTTTTTATTTCCTATGCGTTTAATGGCGAAACCTAGGTGTGTGTCGTCATGGATACCATCCTTTGATGTAGCAAAACAAATGGTAAACTTTCCTTTTTCCTCGCGTCATCTGGTTTTATACAAGCAACAGCTGTTCACCTTAAATAGAGCTTGAGGTCAATTTTTGTAAATCGGGGTGCAAGCTTTGACACGCATCGTGGTCTGTAACATCGACCCGTTAGTCGAAAACCTTCGCCTAGTCAGGACAACAAAGCCGACGGCTTTGTGTGGAAAGTACGTCCAATAGCAACACGTGTTTGTTCAACTCTTATGCGCCACGGAGCTCTCGAGTCTTTACCTACAGGTGTACCTGGGGACTCTCGAGATTCGTAACGGTCTCCCAGTGCGTTACCCGCGTTTAAATCTCCATTGAGGAAGACGGGGGAACGGTTTAAAGGGATTAGGACGCGGGAATCAGGCTTATTCTGGGATCTAAGGTTTGACAAGGGAACGGGGATTGGACATGGCGACGTTCTACGTCACGGGAGTACGTCGTCCGCCCATACTGGCTCCGTACCGCACCAGGAGCGTGGAGAGCATACATGCACAGTTGTCGTCCGCACAGAATAATGGTGGCTGGAAAGGAGGGTCTGCACGGGGGCTGGACAAGAACGCGAGATGCATGTCCTCTCCGAGACTTAACGGCGATGTCAAGAAGGATAATACCCTTTTAAGCCCTTGGAAATTGGGCTGGGAGGAGACAAGAGTATCACCATCTTCCTCTCCGGGAGGCAGTAGAGAGAGACTGAACCTACCGTCTACACCTAGAATGGGAGTCAGGATTAAGGTAAGCAGCCATTCTTTTTATTTCTACATGTATTTTGAAGCTTTGTTTATTCATGAAAAGTTAAAATCGGTCTGCAAGACGCTTCTCATTGAGGTCACGAGAGAAGAGGTAAGGGCCAGACAAAGATACAGTTTACATCATTTAAAGTCGTAACAAAGTATACGCATATTTTACACATACATGGTACAAAATACATGTACGTATACTGGTAGCACATATGCGTGAGAGCTGATGTAGGGTTCGTTTGTTTTTGGTCATTTCTAACTTCTGTTTTACTTAAAGAGTTGTCTTTAAAAAAACTCTGAAACATTTAAATTCACATTGTACACCTCCGTGGCAGGCAGGCACACTTCACGCAGTTCCGTAAATTTTCCATGGAATGTGAAGATGTTTAGAAATACGCAAAGCATCAGATCCTTTCTTTGAAGTAGATGCCACAGATAGCGGGCACTTCTCTTTCAAGTGTCCTTCTCCTGACGTGGGCAAAGTTTGCATATCAGGTCGTTCTGATGTTTGTTCCTAGGCGTATCTTGATCTTGGAGATAGAATGTTCAAGCCTGTCGCCATCTTTTATTGCATTTTTACCGTTCATTACAATCAACCTGTTTGAAGAGTGACCGATTTCAAAGAAATTGTAAAAAAAATTCTAAAAATGTTGTTATTGTGAGCAGCTACTTTCATACACAAAAAACTGTTACTATTGTTCAGGTAACTGGATAGATTTCGAAAACTGGCAGACGTTTCAAGTAGCATCCACTCGTTAGTGAAACAAGGCCATTCATTATATACTAGGATGTCATGATGTCCTTGGTGAAACTGTTATTCAAGCGACTGGATAGAGTTTGTGAACTATCAGACGCGTCAAGTAGCAGTCACTGACAGTTTTTAACGTCTGACAGTTTTAAAAATTTCAATAATCCAGTTGTTAATAACAGTTTTCTTGTGTATAGGTTCATGACCTGGGAAAATAACCAGTCGACGTAGCTACTTTTTAGTCTCCACCAGACTACATCGTGGGTTCAGTCATATAGGGAGAATGATTAGAAAGGTAGTTTAATCACCGCAAGAAGGTTATAGGGTCTACCTCTGTTGTCACCGTCGAGTTCATTTGCTAAATTCTACCTTGATCCGTACTCCCGTAGGAAGGCCTGGTGGAGGCTAGCCACTTTCCTACTCCTAGTTTTATTATAGTCTGAATGAGCATTGCAAAGGGACTGGCGCCGTGGTCAGAGCCGTGGAGGCAGAGCCGTAATAGTTTCTAGGAAGTCACGTCCTCCACAAGGACAATGACTGATGATGTCATGTCCATTGTTTACCTGATGTCGACGGGGTACAGCCAGACAAAAGCTATTTTCTACAAGCACCACTCTGTCACGATGTCACGCGTCCGGTGACTTTGTCCTTTGCATTTCAAAGCAGGATATCCGCTCATTTTCTCTTGTAACTGTTGTAAATGAGCTATTTTAAAGTGTTTGTGCCGTTTCAGCATTCTTGGGTACTTAAAAACAAGCACGTGGAAACGTGCATGCCCAAGTTGTTATCAGTAACAGTATCTGCTGTACATGAATAATCCGTCGCGTGGCGCCTCTTCCACTTAGCCTTGCCCACTCCATTGCCTCTGGGTTGACGTTATCTCAAACGGTTATCTATGAAGGCTCCGCGAAGTACAAATAAACACAGCCACTGTCATGACTGCGTTCCTTCAATGTTAGACTTTTGATCTCATGTTACAACTGACATGGACCCCCCTACCCCCTCGAACTATTTGTTCGCACCCAACCACTGCTAGCGCCTTGGACATGATCTATTTATTTCCTATATACCCCTTTTCCAGAGGAAGTTTGTTCTCAAACGGGCTCTTTGTTTGATTTCTAACTGCCTTTTTTAAGGGTCAGGGGTGTAGGGTGACGTTACAGAGGGTACCAAGTGCACTTGTCATGAATGTCCACTCAAATCAAAGATTTGGAAAAGCCAAGGAGGCCGGTTAAAAAACTTATGGAAGATCAAACTTCCTTGAGTAGAACTGTACCTTTGTTCTAGTCGTAATACCAAAGTACAGGCTTCGGCTTTCCAAGCGACAAACAATGCTCTATTATTATAATATAAACAAACAAACAAACAAACAAACAAACAAACAAACAAACAAACAAACAACCCACACCAAGAAATAATACACAGGGTAGTACATTCAATGTACATGTACTTGTTTTGTTGCCCTATAGGCCTCCCCCTTTTAGAGTTGAATGTCATGTGCAATTCAGATCCTCTAAGTACGAGAACCTTCAAGTTACACCAGGAACAACTCAAGTTCTAACGTGAGCTGTAGGCCAAAGCAACTACGTAGGAAAATCATGCACACACGAATGTGCAACCAAACTGTGCACTGGTGGTCAGTAGTGGCGTGATATCACAAATGTAACTTACTGAATTTGTTCGCGACTTTGCGCCGAATTCTACACGATTCCCTAAAAAATGCCAAGTTGCTGTCACTGTCATGGCGGTCGTTTATTATCTGGCTCCTTCCCTTTTTCTCATTCGCCGATACAGCATTGGTGGAGCAAGTCTTATGTTGGAGTTAGCTGCCAATGCGATGCGAAAACACTGTAACGTTACGTGTAACGTTAAAATTAACATTACACATAAGAGTATAGACTGAGAAAGCACATGTTTGATAGTAAAAAATGTTATAAGCTAGCCTACCTGACCACCTCTCATAATGGAATGGAATGTAGAAAAATGACTACAAATGGAAGCTTAGAAACGCTTAAAATTGTAATATATTGTACCCCACTTTAGAATCGTCTGTCTTCTTCAGTAAAGTTCGTGTAAGTCCTGTATTGCTTGTAAACACGTGTTCATTCAGCATGAAAAGATCGGCAAACATGGAAGACTTGTAACGCAGTAAATGAGGATTTCACTGAGTACACCTCGTAAAGAAAGTAGATATCGCACATCGTTGAAGATCAAAAGATCAAAGACTTTGAAGCTTTATGGTCGGACATTCCTGTTGGGGTGTGTTGTATAACTCCTGCCAACGCGTGTAGGGGAGGGGCATCTATGCATATCGTTGTCGTTAAATAATGTTTGTGAAATTTACACAGGTTCTCATTCACCCCAAGTAGGTTTCACCTTCCTAGATGCATGTTTGCATGATACACACGTCATAACTCGCTTCATGCAACTTAGGACATTATGATTATGTAATGCTGCATTGTCTCTTTTGTCTTTCTTTCTGGTCTTTTGTCCTTCAGTGAGTGCTTGACGCAAGTTTTGGTTCAGATCACAAAGTGTAACGTTACTACTTGTACCCTTGTACGAAAAAGTAGACCAAATCTCTGATGAAAACGGTCAATATCATTACCGTTAGTTGTTCTGCACGCTGAAGTTACCCCAAGGAATGGTACGGTCCGGCAGCTCACAGGGCGTGGCCTGATGATTGACAGCAGCGTTCCGCCCCGAAAACAGAAGGACCTGTCAATCATTCTGGCGCTCGGGCTGGCCCGCTCTCTCCTGGCTGGCATAGTTTGAATTGCTGGAGCAAAAGCGTTGGAAAACTCGCGTGCCGAGCAGGGATACAGCAGAAAATCCGCGCTCAAAACCCATGTGCAGGTAATCATTATTGTATTTTTCCAAAGTAGGACGCTCGGCGACGTTATTTCTTTTAAAGAGACAGGTTTTGTTATGGTAAGTCTTAGGTATCATTCCGATCAAAGGGAGGGTGAAAAGGTGACCGTTCCGGCTCTGACACTTGGCTTGAATAGGGGGACGCCCGTGATTATAAGTGGCGAAATTATTTCGGCCCAACGGTTTTCGCCATGCGATGGAGTCATTTCTGAGGCGATTTTCCTCTTTTCGACGCAGTTACAGGGTAAGATTGTTGTCCATGTGTTCGAGTAGGGCTCGGTGTGTACTCAAGGCCCGGCCTGACGCCGTACGCGAGAGATTTTCTCGGCCAGCGGCGCACACAATGCCGAATGTTTACCCAGGGGGAAGCGCTGATGAAAACTCGGTTTGTACAGGCTTCCAGAGAGCACAAACGTGGTCATTACTAATTTTACAACTCAAATAAGTTGTCCTGGTATTTCAGTTTGTCCTGTCTGTTATGTTAAGTGTTGTAGATCGTTCAATTTGTCGAGAAATGCCGTTGTTTTGTGGCCTAAGGTGGGGAGGGGGGCTAGTCTTTTACGACTGTTCTAGTCCGTCGCTAGCGTCGAAGGACAGACACTATTTGGGACGTTTAAAATCCACTTCAAACGTGGATCCATGTTTTACGTGTTAATCAGGACTTAACAGCCACCCAACGATGCACAAGAAGGTCGTATACGCCTTGATTTTCTCTCCACATATCCCCTTAATTCAAGGTAACGAAATGTGAGCAATTTTTTTACACATCATCAAGTTACAATTTGTCGAGAACCATCATAATATACCATACGTAGTAAGTATACTGCAGGTCCTAGACTTAATTTTTACGCATTGGGAATAACCAAAACTTAGTGTGTGGTATGGTCAATTTTTTGAGGAACATATGTTATTTTTTCAGAAGAAAATTTTGTCTGTTTGAAATGTTACCTGTGTTATGTTATGCCTGTGCAGGTTGGGGATAATATATTTGGCTCAATGCCAATTTGAAAATAGGTTGACTCACACTGTGTAAATGTTTCAGTATGAATGATTGTGTCCGATGTAGGAGTAAATACATATCCATATGTTACCAAGAGAAGTCATTAATCTGGTGATACACATGTAGTTTACCTCCTGCTAGTTTTTCTACTCTTTTGGGGGGACAGGTGTCCAAATTTTAGGTCACATGGCTTTCCAGTATCTGCGTCACTATGGTTGTTTAGTTTCATAATTTTATTTTACACTCAAGCCAAGGATATAGTTTGCTCTCAGTTGTAATTTGTTGCCAAAACTGCCTTAAAATTAAGGTAGAATTATAAATATTATGTACCAGGCACCAGGTGAGCTTTGTCTGGCTTGTACTTGCTGTAGCCCCTGGGAGTAAATGTGTAAAGGCCACCTGGGGACCAAAAGTCTCAAAGCGCTCCATACCTGGCCACAAAGTACTTAATGTTGAAACCTAATCTCCTTGCTCAAATGTGATAATGTTAATCCCAATTTTATGGTAGTATGTAAAAGCATTACTACATGTATGTGTATGACTGTGCTGCATGTGTATCTTGTATATGGCTTGTTTGCAGTGCATAAGTTGTCTTGGACATAAACATTTGCATCTCAATGAGTGCCTCAATTGGGTCAAAAAAGTGATACACAGTTGACAAGTATCTACCTGGCCATCGTTCACAGTTTTTGACGTTTTTATGTCTCCCCAGAGTCTAGGGGATGTGGAAAGTGAATAGCGATGTTGGTTTTCCCCTCACTGTAAATTGCCCCTCAAGTTTTTGCATGACAGAGCTTGCCAATATGGAAAGTTTCAGAGGAGTGGATTTTTTTCTTCTACTTGTTAGGAGAGCCTTTGAGTAAAAATGTTACAACAATACAAGTCCCAAAGGGGTCTGAAGGACATTCATTGCCACTCCTGGACCTAACTAAATTGTGAAAAGTCCAGCAAGTTCCTATGTAGCTAGCATCATTTCCTGGTTAGTCACATGTATGTTATTGGCAAATAGCTGGGGTCAAGGGGTTGGTTCTTGAAGTCAAATCTGTGGCCCTGTAAAATGTGTTATGGTGCCAGGTCAAGTAGATGCAGTTCAATTTTCCATTCCGCCAAGGTTTCCAAATGGCCCTGTGGCTTTCCATATGGAATAGCCCAACATTTGTCTTACACAGATGCCACGGATTCCAGGCCTTTTCAGATCCTGACTTCCTCAGGAAAGAAAGGGTGTTGAATGTTACTGGAACACAGCGTGACTCAGAGATGAAAGAAAGTTGATTGTTGTGAATTGTGTACGTCCTGCAGAAGCATCACTCTACACTACAGACATTACCATAAACATTAAAGTCAATGGCAGGCTCAGTATTTCTTTATTTTACCATAACAGAAAGTGGAATAAATAACAAACCCCTCTGGCAATGAGTAACAATAGCTATAATACAAAACCCAAGTGTATGGGTACCATAGACTCTAGCTTTGACCTAACTGATGTACATTTATGAATATTGCATAAACTTGTTTTCATTTCTAGTGACCACATCTAGTTTGGTATCATTATGAAGCAAGTTTAAACTGCAATTTCTAACACAACAAATTGGACTCACCCAAATTTTCGACTGTACAACTCCAGTCTAGTATGTCAAGATGGATTGCTCATTCCTAGACTAGACTGGTACAGTTGAAAATTTGGGTGAGTCCAATTTGTTGTGTTGGAAATTACTGTTTAAACTTGCTTCATAATGATTTCTACCAACACAGATGAACTTTCAAGATTAGTTTCTTATCAGTTGATGGTACATGTTGTTGTCTTTGTTTTGCAGGGTTTTGTGAAGGGTAACTCAGAAGAGAAAAGAGATCAGGTCATGTCGGCTGTCCAGGCCTGCTCAGCATGTGTGAAGTGTGGGGACCGGTGTCCCGGCTACCAGCCCCACTACTGGAGGTAAGCATCTCACTTCACTTGTGTCTTCAGTTCACTACAGGCAGTGTTCTAGCCAGCATCTATCTCTCCATCATCTGACAGAATTTTTCTGCTCTTGATGGAAAAAAAGTTATGCCCAATCCATCATCTTTGATGGACAAAAATAAAAATTGATGTTTAAAGATATGAATGGAAAACTTAGCTCAGTCTACCTACGTAATTTGCCTTTCAAATTGCAGGAAATTTTGTTTCTGAGGGTCAAGATTTTAAAATTTTGCTGGGGTTACGTGCCCCAAACCATTTGGTACTTGATAGGTGATGTTATGTCGAAGAAATTTGAGATGACGGAAAAAAATTCAGGCTTGCAAGAACACTGCTTCTGTTGCTAAATACACACAACAATATATTGGTAGAAACAGTTTGGGAAATCCTGTGTTGAACAGTAGCTTGTGTTCAACATTCCTTGGTCTCACTGTGAAATATTAAGCTGTTTGCTTTTCGAAGCCTAGGTTTTGGGCTGCAGAGTTTTTGCACCCATCCCTGTGGCCAATCAGTTTCTACTAGATGGTTTACCATATTTGGTATTAGGTGTACAGAGTTAGGATCATGATTCTGGCTTATGTTAATGCCTAGCCTGTTCCTTAAATCTTTACCTTCGTAGAGAAGGTTATGTTCAAAAAGGGATGGAATGGTTTCCAGCAAACCAGTTTAGAATTTCAGTTTCTGATAAATGCTTGAATGTAGGTGCTTGACTTTCAAGGGAGATTATATACTTATAACCATAGGTGAAGTTGGCAATCTATACATTGACTTTGTAAATGTAACACATGTAGAAGTTTACATATAACGTTACATATGTATTGATAGCAATCACAGTGAACTGATCTTGATTTATTATACTCAAATGGTGTCAATTATGCATTTTTGTATGTCATTTATAAAACCTAGGAAGTTATCAGGAACAATAAATATTGTCAATTTGCTAATGCACAATCACTGATAATATGTCACTGTTGTTTACCATCTAGATATGTTTTCCAGTGATTGTAATAATTGCTTTACATCCATGCTGTAGCCACCATTTTAATTTCACATATAATGTAATTTACGATCGCGGTCTGGCTGATAAATCAGCTTAATTGCTAGTTTCTGCAGCTGTCTGGGGGTAAAAGGGAAACTTTCTCTGTCTAATGGGTTTTCTGCTTTTGTGCTAATTTTGACGAATGTTCAGCAGGACACGTTGTGATTGTAATAAACGACGTTGAATGGAGCCATAATAGGTAGAGTAACAGATGTGAACAGATGTAAAATGTACGCAGTGCTTGAAATACTTTTTTTGCATACTAGCTACTACCTGCACCAGACAAATTTTGCCTGCACTACTCAGAACTTATGAAGTATGGATCATCACACTAAGAACTGTTCAGAAACCATTGACATTATTACCTCCGGGTAGGGATGTATATCCCGTGCGCGGAGGTTATGTGAGGGAAGACGAAAATTACGTTCGCAGCAGTTTCTAGCGTTTGGGTGGACGGATATGTCTGGGACTTGGTATACGTTTTGCTATTGGGCTGTAGATGGTGCACGTTGTTTTGGTTTTTTAGTATGTGTGTTTTAGTGCGTGAAAATGATGCGTTTTGACAGCGTATGGACACCCCTTGTGTGTGAAAGTGGTTTTGTCTTTTGGTTTTCGGCGTGTATAAAGTATCGTAGGTTGCGTCCACATCTGGTGAGAGGGGGTTTCAGGTATCGAGTGTGAAAAATTATGGTCGCGCGGGTCGCAGCCAGCCAACTTCCGGGTGGGCCAATGGGTCAGGGGTCAACGCCCTCTTGCGCAATTTCGGATGTTTTCTGCGTATAGTACAAATACCGTGGTATACTGTCTCAGGCGTTCTCGACATGCATTTCGCGTTGGGGAAGACGGGACTCGGTGTTTCTTCTGTTAATGGGCTGTAGATGGTGCTAGGTTTTTTTTGTTTATTGTATATGTGTTTTGGGGCGTAAGATTATTTGTATTTCGTGTCTCGGACACCCGTTACTGTTGTTAGTGTGTGAAAATGGGTCGCGCGGGTTGACCATTTGCGGTTACATCTTCGCCAATCAATCAGCACACTCGGCTCGGGGTCGCCGATGTTATCCTGGAGCTAGCTTGGGTGCCATCCCCTACCGCGAGTGAGCGATAATCTTTCGGCCAGGGAAAGCCACGTGCACACGCCCCGCCGACCCTGATTTGCGCCCTGGCTCTCCTGGCCGGGTGTCTGTACAAAGCCTCTCGACCGCTGAGTCCCTGTGTTTTCGAACTTCGGTGGGGATTTCCGTGTTGTTTTCTGATTTTCATCATCCACTAAGATATACTTGAAGACCGAGCGTGATTTGAACTAGTGTGGGATAAGTGGGGAGGGATGGCAGCCGCGGGGGGAAGCGGTCGGCTTGATAAATTTTCGAGAGCAAGTTGATTTCTCACGCGGCCGTTTGTGTGGGTGTTTGTTTACATTATCGCTGGTCGCTGAGGGTCGGGCAGCCAGATTCGCCACGGGATGCCTCCTGTCCTTTCTATTTTTGGGCTCCAGTCGGCTAGGGGGGATTAGTGATTTCACAGATCATTTAGCCAATTACAAACATTTCGAAACTTTTCGAAAAAAATGGTATTCGCGCGAATTCACTAGTTAATTTAAAGAACAGTCCCAACATGCACCCAACATTCTGCAACATACATTACAATACCCGGAGGTACAAAATCTACGATTTTCCTTGTTTCTTTTATACCTCATGTGGGGACAGTCAATACAGCAAAATCAACATACACTGACATTTGTACATAAACTCAGTACATGGACTGGTAGAGGTTAGGTGCAGGTAGACACCAGAAATACCTGCACGGCTCCAATTTTACCTGCACTAACCTGCATATGCAGGTGGGATTTCGAGCCCAGCTGCATGTGGGTAATGTATTACTGCAGTGCTGTGGATACAACTTTTTTCAGTACCAATCCAAGCCATGGTTGCCATAGGTTTTCGGTAACTCTCCACACATATAAATACATGCCTGGTACATCAGTCATTAGCAATGCTGGAGGAGTGACAATGTGATATTGTTGCTAATGACTTTGGCTTTGACTTTTGAATTTTGTAGAATAACTTCAATAAGGGGACTGAACTGGAACTAAAAGAAACCGATACCCTGACATTACTGATGTTATTGTTCCTGTTAAACAGTACTTAAAAAAAACAACAATGAAATTGGCTAATTTGAGGGGAACATGACAGGCGAAAGATAACCATGTACTGGAAGGTTTAAGCAACTGCCTCCTTTCAATGATCTTTTGTTTACCTTTAATTAGTCGAAAAAATTATCTTCCAGTTAGTCTGTTGTGTTATAGCTAAGGCTGCAGATGTATTGTTTCAGTTTTCACTAGGTTGGTTTCGTTGTCAGGCTAGAAAAGAAGGATCAGGCTAGAAAGCTGTCAAACAGTTGAAAAGTTTGACCTGCATAATCTCCAAGCAGATCTTTGATGGCTGCAAAGATAGCATCAAATTGGCAAACTGTTTGACTGTTGTAAAAAAATACATACATGTTTGTACCAGGACAAAAAAAGAAAGGCTAAAAACAGAAATAAGTCAAAAACAAGTAAAATCTGAGATTTTATACCTCCGGGCTTTTTATTGTATATTTTTCCATGTTGTTTGTTCTGTATAGTTGATGGTGTTGAATTTTATGTGTTAGATTTAGCGTTCCTGGTTGTGTTAATACAGGACTGGTCAACATTTTCATCTGCAGCCCATACCATGTACCCACGGTAAAAATGCATGTCGAGAACGTCTGAGACAGTATACCACGGTATTTGTAAGTTAAGAAGTCGTACTATACGCCGAAAACATCCAAGATTGCGCAAGAGGGCGTTGACCCCTGACCCATTGGCCCACCCGGAAGTTGCGCTGGCAGCCAGCCCAGCGCCGCGCGCGACGATTTTCAGATTTTTACGCCCCAAAACACATATACAATAAAAACAAAAAAACCTGCACCATCTACAGCCCATTAGAAGAACATACACCGAGTCCAGTCTACCCCAACGCGAGATACAACTGCGATAATATTTCAAAATACATATCGGAAGCAGACACCCCTCTGTTTGACCCCTTTTAAATGGTAAGACCCAAAACTGAAACCTCCCCATTCCTTAACAACATGGTAAATTCCATTTTCAGCATGGCGGGGGTGTCCGGAGCACTTAAAAACCTTTTATTTCGACGCCCATAAACACATATACAATTAAACAAAAACGTTCTGCATCATCTGCAGCCCAATAGCAATACGTACACCGAACAACAGACCAATCCGTCCAGCCGATCGCGAGAAACAGCTGCTGACAGAAATGTTTCGAACAATAGTAAAACCTCCTCGCGGAAGGATGTCTCCTTCCCCGGAGGTAATAAGTCAAAGCCTAAACCTTTTCCAGTTTTTGCTAGCTCTACGGTAAATTGTGTGAACCTAGCAATACGGGTAATACTCCTAGTGTCTGCTTTGTAGTTTCAAAACAGCATTTTTCTGTATGTTTGTTAGCACAGTTTGAAGCACACCACAACAAGAAGGGTGCTCATGAACATTTACACTTTAGGTTGCAACCGCCATCGCAATTATGCAAATTTGAGGGCATATTTCAGTGACTCGTAGCCAATATTCTACCTCAAAACCAGGTCAGGGTTGACCTTTATCAAATTTAATGTAGACGTTACAATTCCAAACCATTTGTGGTAGAAGATTTCTTGGTTTGAAACAAGGATTCAAAAGGCTTATACATGTACAGGTATTGTTACAATCGGTGTCTGTCTGTCACCATACCTGTTTATGATTATTTATAAACAGTTAATGCCATAGGCGAGATGTAAACTCCACATAGCTGCAATTTTTCGCTTGTTTGGTATTGCAGTACAGGTAACAACAACAGCATATTTTCATATGCATCAAAGGATATTGGCTGCATTCCTTCAAGAGACTGAATATTCACTGGTAGTATCAG